CACACCAGGCCATAGAATATATTGTGATTGACATAATTCATATCCAGATATCTTACTCTGAGATTAGGATATTTGTCTTCACAAAAGATTATAAGGGATGCTTAGATGTTATTGTCCTTTGAGCAATAACTTACTGAACTTTTGTTGCTTTCCCTTGAAGTCCTAGATGGCTGATTTTCTTCCAAGTATTAACCATTTTGAAGGGTTATATAGATTAATAGCCAGTTTATTTGCTGCTATTGTTAATAAAAAGTATCTGTAGTGTTAAGTAAAACTTGTAGTAATATGCAGCCTTTCATATGTTAAGATGACCTACTTTCTGTAGAGTACTCTAGAGAAATCTAAAAGTGGGAGTGAATTTGTACTGACTTGTGCACATTTTTAACTTAAGTGCATATTTTGTGTGAAGTAATTTTCATTGTTAAATCTGTAATCAAGGAAGGAAGGCCAAAATACGAGCTATATGGTGAATAAAAGCTGCTACTATAGTGTTTCTAACTAAGGTATAAAAATGCATGTTAAAATTATTTTCATAGCTGCAAGGTTGGGAGTATTTTAGTTTTGAGACTCAGATTGTTAATTGGGTGTAGCTATAGAGCATTTTTAAAATTCTGTTTTGTTTTATTACTCCTGGTTGGGAAGCAGCTGTGCTGTGAAACTAGTGCATGATTTTGAAATTATGTGAAGACAGGAATGGATAGCGGGGTTGGGAGTGGTAGGTGCAGGTTCACAGGTCTTCTTGCTGTTGTTGAGTGTGTACTTATCTCTAATGAAATCTGCATTTTTCCATAGACAGTGATCCCATCAGGTTTTCGAGTTGGAATGAAGCTTGAAGCTGTAGACAAAAAGAATCCTGCCTTCATCTGTGTTGCTACGGTAACAGATATGGTGGACAATCGTTTCCTGGTGCATTTTGACAACTGGGATGAGAGCTATGACTATTGGTGAGACATTTTGCATTAATGCGTGCTTTTTAAAATTTCATGTGTGCCTAGGTAAACTAGGTATACAGTTTAAAAACAGTAACACTGCAAAGCTTCCAACACAAAATAACAGTGCTGTGCCCCACTTTTTCCCATTTCAGATTTTTAAATTTTAATGTGTTTCACATTGCATGTATTTCTAAGTAACATCCTTTAGTGAATGAAGCTCCTCCCTGATTTGTATTTTACTTGTCTTTATACTGTGGACGTGGCATTTACCACCCCCATTCCCAACATAAATTGACAGGCATGTGCACCCAGATTTATATTTTCCCCTTCAGCATGGGTGGTTTCTATCATTTGTTATGAACTTATTTTAATCTTCCTTTATGTTTTCATGCATAGTAGCTAATTTAATCATTTATGATAGCTGAGCATCAATATATTAATTGAGGAATAATCTTTTTAATTCTTATCATTATTAGATATACTGAGTAAGGCAGTAAGAGAAATTTAAAATGATGTAATTATGAAATAGCTGTAATAAATCATCTTATTTTGGTTAAACAATTGAACTAAGGATTTTCCATATGTAATTCATATTCAGTTATCTCTAGAATTCAGTTTTCTGATGAAAGACATTTGTGAACTGTTTAATCTAGATAACACTTGAAATAATATTTTAGAGAAGTGACCAGTGAGTTAATAAAATATGACTAAGGTTGCAGTATCAAGTGAATATTGATTTATGTAAATGTAGCTAAATTTCTGGAAAACACTTTTTTTAGTATGCATAACTTTATTCCGTAGATGTGTTAATAATTTTCATTACTCTTCAAACTAATTAGATACTCATCAGTTTTACTTGCATTGTTTTTTAAAAAAGACCCTGAATTGAAATCTATTTGCTATTCACATTTTTAAACTACTTTTCATTATGTTACATAGGTGATTCATAGAAATTTTTAAAAATGTAGACAAGTCATTGCATGATTACAGTACATAGTTAATTAAGTCTTCTAAAATGGTTTTGGTTTTTCCAGCATTTTTGTGTAAAGCATTGTTTTTCTTCACAGGATGTCTTCATATTTAACTTGTGTTAAAAATTTTTTTACTGAACTATAGGCATGTGCAAAACTAATGGTAAAGTGGTTTTCCTGTGGCCTTTATTTAGCATTAACCATTATCGATTTCTGTAGAGAGCGTCCCTTCTGTGTTTCCACTCTTAAAATTTAATTCTAAGTTTGTTTGGAAGCCAACTGCAGATAATACAGCATTTCATGTGTGAATGATTCAATTTGTATCTTTTAAAAATGTGAACTCTCTTTCTTTTTCAAAGTATAGCTGTAATGTCACTAACATTTACCA